AGATAAGCTCTATCTGATGCAATATTCCCACAGCCAAGTTCCCAAGGAGCTTGGTCCACACCTGACTCCAATTTAACAGGGAAGGGAGGGGGCGGGAGGGGAGGGGTGGCCCGGAGCWGACAAAGCTGCCTGCCCTCTGAGGTGACAGCCCTTCCTGCAGTGAAGAGCCCCCAGGCTTCAGGGGGAGGCTCCTGGGATTGGCTGGGGCCGGGGAGCGGCTGGGTGGGGCCAAGTCTGCAGCCACAGAYGGGGGACAGTGGATCCCTGACCCAGCTGAACAAAGGAACTTTCCCCACCTGGATAATGGGGGGTGGCCTGACATGGGTCAGGACAGGTGCCCTTGGACAAGGGTGGACAAACAATTGCACCTCTGRGGTCTTGACCCCTCCTTCTAATCCCCACAGGACACCCCCAGATTACAACTGTGGACACTGAGGCTCAGAGGCCAGATTCTTGCTTCGTTAGCAGGGAGGAGAACCCACATCGGGTTGGGGTGCCCTCTCCAGAGTTTTTGTAAATTTATTTCTTGGGTGCTTGCACACACTGGGCAAATGGTCCATCACGGATCTATATCCTCYTGAGTTATTTTAATAAAGGGGCAACGGATTAAGATCCTATTGGAGGGGCTGGGGTCTCGGCTCCGTGGTAGAGCGCTTGCCCAGCATGTGTGAGGCTCTGCGGTCAATCCTCAGCACCACATATGAATAAATAAAATAAAGGTCCAGTGACAACTAAGACATATTTTTTAAAAATCCTATTGGGAGTATCTGGGGTTCCCAGGATGCAGTTGCTAGGCACCCTGGGAGAAGCCATGTGGCTCASTGTTTGCAACTGGGTAATGAGGATGAGGAAGGGCTTGCGGAGTGATCTGGGGGCAGAGGGCTTGAGGACGTCTCCCCAGCTCCTTGGTGCCCCTTTGGCTCTGTCCCCCACTTCCCTGCCCCTCCTTCCCCTTCTCCCTGGCACCTACCCAGAACCTGCTGGGASCAGGCTGAGACCTGGGCTGAAGGCYGTAGCCCCAAATGCCAGCTCTTTGAGTTGAGGGGATTTGAACCCTAATCCTGTCACTTGCTGGTGGGTCCCGTCCCTCTCTGGACCTCAGGTTCCCCATCTCGCTGTCGTCCATCCCCTGGGCAGCTGTGAAGATTGCTATTCTGTGGCAGAAGGGAGAAGCTTGAGCCCAGCTGACACTGTCCCTCCCCTCATGGGGAGATTCCGGTTCCCGCAGGCAGGACCCCTGTCCCTGTCCTCCAGAGTGGGGCAGTCCAGGCCTGTCCCTACATCCCTATGAAGGCATGTGGCGTCCAGCCTGACTGGGCCATGAGAGACGGTGCTGGGGAAGCTGGGGTGAGGGGCTCCCCCAGGGCCCTTCTGGACTGTATCTCAGAGCGACAGGCASGGAGAGCCCTGGGAGAAAGTGCTCCAGGGTGAGCCAGCGTCTGGGGGCACTTGTGGGGCCGTGGAAAGCGGTTGGACCTCTGATGGGAGAGGGGGAGGCCAGGCCTCCTGGAGGAGGAGGATGGGGGCCGAGGCTGGAAGTGGGAAGGGGAGGAGGCCGAGGGTTCTGAGCACGGAACCTCCCCAGCTCGGCTGGAGGGGGCAGGGGAAGCCGTCCAGGGAGCCCCTGCTCCATTGGGAGGCGCCCGCCTGGGGCCCAGGAGGCAGCTGGCGTCTAGCAACCCTGCAATTAGGGAAGGAGGCAGAGGAGCCCGGTGGGGGCAGGGCAGGCTGAGGGCTGCAGCTGGCTCCTGGGTCCTGCCTCTGCCTCCAGCCCCCAACCTGCGGCCCCAGAGGCTCAGCCTGGAGGGGCTGGAGGTCTCCCGGGCAGACAAGCTCCTGGGGTCTTGCAGGGGAGTGCACAACGATAGGAAAGGCCAGAAAGGTACCATGAACATCACTCTGGATGTGGATTTGGTCAACCTGGACCAGTCTGTTGTGGTTCCCATTTTACACATAAGGAAAGCCCAGAGAGGGGAGGCAGCTTAGCAGAAGACACACAGCTACCCGGAGAGCAGCCTGGGTCAGAAGCCCCATTCGTCTGGAGGGTTGTGGTTTGAACGCCTGGCTCTGGACCATGGAGGGGCAGCCTGGTAGTCAGGTTGGGCAAAATGACCTTGGCTGGAGAGTAAGGGCAGACTGCAGGGGAGGAGGCCAGTCAGGTCAAGTCTGGCCCCACTGGTTCTGCAGCCAGTCTGGGCACTCCAGGCCTGGAGGAGAGGCCCTGGCACCGCTGCCCGGGGATGCTGTGTTTCGTGCCTCCCGGCTGCTGCCCTCTCGGAGAAAAGCAGCTGTCTAGCCCCTGCCAGGGGCTGGGTTCCAGCTTCGGCCATCTCCACCACCCATCTTCCCTCCACCATCCATCACCATTTCCCTCCTCCTTCTTCCCTCCCTCTCTGCTAACACTCGGAGATCCCCACTAAACCCCCACTAAACCCCGGGCACTGTGCAGGCAGCAACCCACTAGTACTCTAGGAATGAGCGGGGCTAGGCCTGGCTGAGGCTGCAGTGRAGTGGGTGGGGTGCAGGGGCCATTTGGAGCCTTGCCCGGAGGGTGGCATGGGTGGACTCTGGACACAGACTGCCTGACCTGGGATCCCAGTCTCATGGGATCATTCATCAGCTGTGTGACCTTGGGATAGTTACTTGCTCTCTCTGAGCATAAATTGGGCTGGTGATGATAATAGCCGCCTCCTGAGGCTGTTGGGAGAGATCAGCAAGACACACGGCATGTGAGGCACCCAGTGTGGCTCTTGGCAGTCACCCTGTGCTGTCGGGAGCCTGGGGCAGTGCTGAGCCGTGCTTGATGTGCATGTGTCCTGACTGTATCTGGCGCTGACCTGGCTCCGTGTGTTTCCTCTGAGTCACTCCAGGGCTCCCCCCTGTTCCAAGGGAAACTGGATTCAGCCAGAGGGGGCACCACACTCAAGTTCCTGTAAGGTTGGGGCACAGATCTAGGGGAGATGGGTGCAGGTAAGGTCGGATAAGGGTGGGGACTGCCTGCAGCATTCCAAGGAGACRCATCATCTCTCTGCCCAGCAGCTCTGGCCGTGGGGGAGCGTGAGCCCGGAGTGGTCAGAGGTGCTGATGCCTCAGGAGAGAGAAACCCACACTTTTATGTGAAAACTTCCCATTACTAATATTAGCCATGCATTAAAGGGTTTTTTAAAGCATCTTCTGAGCCAAAGCTAATGCTTCTTCTGGCAGGCGCCGCGCCCCGCCCACTGGGAGGCTTGCTGTAGGGAGGGGAGCGCAGGGGGCTGGGGCAGGGACCCAGGGGACCCCGGCCGAGCTGCCCCTCTGCAGTGGGGTGGGAGGCGGCCCTTTCCTGCCATTCTGGGTGCAGACTAGGGGGAGAGCTGTAGAGGGCCCTGCTCAACCCGATCTCGCCCAGGTCTGGGAGCCCGGAAGGGGCCTGTTCTGTGTCTGGGGTGGCCGGGCAGGTGGAGGTGGCTCCCAGGGCTGCTACCAGCAAGGGTCTGGCTCCTAGCTCCTGGGGCCAAAGGGCAGCACTTTGAGCCATCCTGGGGCCAGCTTCCTGTTTGGCAGGAAATGGTCCCTTCCCTGCTGGTGGCGACTTCAGGGAGGGGGCTGGAGGGGCGGGAAGTCATCCCCCAGGGGACCTGGGACCTCTGCCTCCGCAGCAGCAAACCCACTGGCTGGCACCGTTAGGCAGGCTCAGCTCCAGACAGGGCTCCTGGGCCGCCTCTGCTCTCCTCCTGGGCCCAGGGCTGGGGTGACCCTGGGCCCCAGCACTCGGCCTCAGGGMGACCTCACCTCTAGGCACATTTAATGCACTCCTCCCCCTGGTGGGGGCCCTTCCTCAACCTTGCCAGACTCCTGGTGCCGGGCTCAGCCCGCCTCTCCTGCACACCCCTGGAAACAGGGCCTCACCCCTTCTGCTAGGGCCTCCCCAACAATGCCGCCTCCCGCAGGAAGCAAGTCCCGGTGCTCAGAATCCACCCAAGGCACTCCAACCCCAGGGGCAGGTCCCCCGAGTCCCACCTCGGCTAGAAGGTTCCCACGATGGTGTTCCCGATGACCACTCCATCAGGGATGTGATGATCTTGTGGCTACGGGAGGTTTCCAAATGAAACATCAAACATAAAATAAGGGCTGGGRCTGGGGCTGAGTGGCAGAGCACTTGCCTTGCACGTGTGAGGCCCTGGGCTCGATCCTCAGCACCACAGAAAGGTAAATGAATAAAAATCATTATAATTTTGTGGCCATAAAAATATTATAATAAAAAAAAATAAAATAAAATTACCTGTAATGTTACTATTCCTAGAGCAGAGCTAGGGTACAGACACGGCTCCCCATGACTACTGTGTCTATGTTTAATGTGCCTAAGACTCAGTACTGACTGTGCCACACCTCCCTCTGGGCGAACGGCCATTGATCACCTGCACTTCATCCCTGTGCCCAGCTGGCCACTCCCTCCTGTCCAGGGCAGACCCCCAAGTGCTTTGATAATAACTAACCTTTATGGAGCTCTGGAGAAACTCATCAAATTCTCTTGGCGACTGTCACTGTGAGACCGCTTGGGGAAACTAAGGCTCAGAGAGGACAAGTAACTTTCCTGAGACTGCACAGCCAGTGAGGACCAGAGTAGAAATTTGAACCACCAGGTAGCAGAGTGCAGTCTCCACTTTTCCACATGGCTGCGCACAGCATCTCCTCCTTCCAGCTAGGATGTGCCTTCCTCCCTCCCTTCCTTCCTTCTCACATTCATTCATTTTTTAAATTTTTATTTATTTTGGGGGGGAGTACTGGGGGTTGAACTCAAGGGCACTAGAGCACTGAGCCACACCCCAGCCCTAGTTTGAATTTTATTTAGAGATGGGGTCTCACTGAGTTGCTTAGCGCCTCGCTGTTGCTGAGGCTGGCTTTGAACTCTAGATCCTCCTGCCTCAGCCTCCCGTGCTGGGATTACAGGCGTGTGACACGGCGGTGGGCTCATTCATTTATCATGTCACTCGATGCTCCTGAGCTCTGGTTCAGTGTCAGGTGCAGGCTGACACTGACCCCCATGTGCCCTCCTGGGTCAGCCACACTTTTAGGACTCTGCCCCAAGATTTTGAACTCCATTTATTACAAAAGACTGGGTTCGTCGCATCGTATTACGAACAGCTCCTGCCAGACCACCAAGGCAGCCCAGTGGGGCCCCCAGCAACCTTCCCCCACAGGTTCCGCCCTGCGTAAATCCTGGATGCTGAGGTCACCTGGACTGGGCCTTGAGCGTCCTGTGTTTACAAAACCAATGGCCCACACAGTCCTGGACGTGCAAATGACATACGTGAGGCAGGAGTCCCTTCCCCAGGCGTCCTGTGAGGCCATGGAGGGAGGGACGGTCCGTGGTGGGAGCCKCRTCTGGACCCACGGCACACACAGGCAGCTGTGCCCCTTCATGTGGCTGGTCAGCCTGGGGGTCTGTGGCTTCCGGCCAGTCCTGCCCAGCCCTGGGAGGCTCTAGGCCACCTGGATCTGCAGGTCCTCGTCCTCATCTAGGTCACTGGCTCCATCCCCGGCCTCCTCGGTGCCAAAGCGGGTGCTGCGGATCTTCCCGAAGAGGGGTGCGTTCTGCTGCTGCCTGCGGAGCCTGCGGCGGGCAGAGGGTGACGGGTCAGCAGGAGTCCGCCACCTCCTGGGCCTGGGGAGCTGCAGCCTCCCCAGGCCCTGACAGCCGCCAGCACCTTGTGTGACCTCCGCTCTGCCCCTGGTGGGGACTCAGGGAGGAGCTACTGTCAGCCTAATTATAGACAAGGAAACTGGGCCCAAAGACACTGAGTGACCGTCCCCAGTCACAGGGAAGGGCGGCCGTGGGGCTGGGCTCTGGGGAGGGGGCTTGGAGAGGTAAGGACCTGGTCCAGGTCACACTGCAGGGCCAGGGTCCCAGGCCAGCCTCCAAGGGCAGAAGGAGCCAGGTTTGGAGGTGGGGGAGGGAGGGGGGTCTGAGCCCCTCACCTTCCCAAGGTCAGCGGGAAGGTGCTCAGCCCTAGGTCCTCCTGAAGCCAAAAACGTGGAGGCCAACTTGGCCTCTAACAAGAGCCAAGGGAGGAAACGCCCGCCCCGCCCGCCCGGCGGCTTCCTGGAAGGCATGAATTATTAACAGGCGGGAGGGGCCGGCGCTCCATTACGGCTCAGTGATTTGTGAGCTGTCCCCGGACATTAAAGCATAAAGAGTGGGCAGCTCAAACGAGGCAGCGGTGCTGGGTGGCCCTGCCCGGCCCCAGGGAGGCGCCCGCCTGTTGTGAGAGTTTATGGCCCCTGAAGAATGTGGCTGAGACTGCGGGGAAGCCCTGGACTAGGCGGCCTTTGGAGGGGTGTGCGCGCCGTAGGACAGGCAGAGCCCGCCCACGTTGGGCTTGACCCTTGGCGGGACACTGCACGACACCAAGGGCATCATTATTTCAGGAAGCTGGGGAAACTGAGGCTCAGTCAGCCACAGCACAGCGCTGTCCAGAGCCTGGACTCTCAGCCATGAGACCTGAGCGCACGGCCTCACATAATACATGCTCAATAAATATGGGCTGCTGATGACGGGGTGACCCTGCAGGGCCACCTGCCATCTGCGTGGCTGTGCAAGGGCTTTCTCTCTTGGGCCTTAGTTTCCTCCTCTGCCTGYCCCCTAGAAAAAAAGACCCTGCCCCTCTTTTCTCTCTCAGAAAGAACAGGCTGCTCCTGGCACAGTATCTAACCGGCAGCCGGGGTAGTCATGGTGGTAGTAACAGCAGCAGTTAGATCAGCATTGATTKCGACAGGCACTTTCATAAGCATGAATCAGCTCACTGAATTCTCTCAATGGCCACGAGGTGAGAACTATTCTCACCCCCATTTTACAGTTGGGGAAACTGAGCCAGAGAGGTTAAGTGACCTAAGACCACCCAAAGCCTCAGCACACAGCATGGACCTTCCACCACCCAGGCAGCCGGCTGCAGGTAGGAGAAGGCAGGTGACAGCCTGGCCAGTGCTGGGCACAGGGAGGGATGCGGGTCAGTCCTGTGGCCCTGGCTTCCCAGCTGTGGGAATGGGGAGGGCAGGCCCTGAACTTCTCCACCATCTCCTGGCATTAGGGGAAGTGCAGGGAGAAGGTGTGACTCTCRGAGGGCAGAGTGTGCCTCTGTCAGAGACCCTCTGTCTCACTGGAGGGGCTGATGGTCCTGCTGGCACTGACGGTCTCGCCTGATATTAGGGCAGGGCCTCTGTATTCCCTGGCCTCCAAACCCTCAGATCCCTGCTGGCCTGGAGTCACCCCAGCCCTGGGACCGAGGGGTCTTCTTGTTCTGTCCACGATGCCCAGCCTGCTGGCCCTCCCAGGGCTCTGCTCCTCAGGCCTGACCTCTCTGGCCAGGCTTCCTGCCCTTGCTCCCGCCCACAGCCTCCAGCTGCTGTGGCTTCCTGCACCCCCCTAGGCTTCCTGGCCCTGGCCCTTCCGGCCTGGAAGGGACAGGATTTGGGCCCCAGGACCCTTCCTTTCCCGTCCCTGCTCTGGCTCTGGGGGGGCTCCAGGCCTGGCAGGTTTCCCTGAGCCACACCTGGGCCGTGGGCCCTGGCCATGCAGAGGCCCCTGTGGCCTACCTGGACTGCAGGTGCTCCAGCTGCACCTGAAGGTTCTCGCTCTGCTCCGTCTGCTCGTCCAGGGACCGCTGCAGTTTGCGCGCCTGGTTGTGGGCCTCGTCCAGCTGCGGGGTGAGCAGGGACCAGAGCCCAGGGGTCACTGAGAGTGAGGACAGCCAGGCCAGACACTCCTCCCCTCCACTGTGGGGCCGTGTTTGCTCCTAAGGCCTGGCCCGAGGTGCTCTCCGTCACTCCTGTGCCCTCCCAAATCCACTCATCCTCCAGTGTCCCCAGCCACTGGTCCAGCCATCCACCCACCTGTCCCCTCAGCCTGCATCTTCCCGTGGAATGCCCATGCCCCTCACCATCGCAGATCTAACCAGCGTGCTCCACCTGGCCCTGTGCCCACCTCCCCGACACCCCCACCCCCACGAGCCCTCCCTCCTTCCCTCTGTCCACTCATTCTTCTGCCCATGGATGTGGTCAGCTGTCTAGCTATCTGACCACAGTCTACATGTCCAGGTGCCATCTGTCTGTACACCCGGCACCCTCCCATCCTTCCCCTAATGCCAGATAGCTGCTGTCTGAGCCCCTGTCCACCCTCCCTTCTCCTCCTCCCATCCACTATTCGTCCCCCCAGGGCACCCTCCTGGTCCTCCATTCAGCTTCCCACGTGCTGCCCACCCCGGTCTGTCCACCCTAACCCCACCCTCCTAGCCCCGCCCTCCTGTCCATGCATCCACCTGTCACTCCCTACCCACCACCTGAGGAGCCTGGCCAGCCCCAAGGGCCCCAGCACTGTGCACAGCAGGCCCCGAAGTCCCACTCCTCCTGGGGACCCACAGCTGCTCGGCCGCGGTACTCGCCTCGTCCTCGGCCTGGGCCAGCTCCTTCTTGAGCTCCTCCACCCGCAGCCGCAGCTTCTTCACCTCGGCCTCGTGCTGCTCCACCCGCCGGTTGGCGTGCGCCAGCTCAGCCACCTTCTCCTGAAACTGCTTCTTCAGCTTGCCGTGCACGTGCTTCAGGTCGGCCAGCTCCTGGGGTGGGGGCGGGGACAGGGAGGACCCAGTGTCACTGGGCGCTGGGCCAGGGAGTCCTGGGGGTCAGCGTCTCCTCTTCCTGCTGCCAACACATGGGCATTATGGTCTGGAGAGTAGTTTAGGTGCCATCTCGGGAGGCCTGGAGGCTCGGGAGGTGAGGCCAGGAAGGAGAAGGCTGGGCTGTGGAGGACCSGGCTCCCCTTTAGACGAGGAACTGAGATGCCCCGGGGATGCCCAGCAGATGCTGGAGCCGCAGGGCAGGATTTCTCAGGAGAGACCGAGGCATTTACAAACCTGGGTCTGAGGGTGACTGAAGCTGGGGAGAGGGCGTCTGAGGAAAAGAGGTCACGGGTGGGAGTGCCCGGAAGAGGAGGACCAGCCGGCAAAGGTGCTCAGCCCTCAGCGCTGGAATCTGTTTTCCCTTCTGCAAACGGCATCATCCTTTCTCTCTGCCAACCTGAGCCTGTTCCTGTCTCCGTTATTTCTCGCTTCCTTGGGCGCAGCAACGGCCTCCCCGTGCCCTCCACCCAGCACAGTGGGCATTAGGAAGGGCAGCCTGCCCACACCTGCCTCCCGCTTTATTTACTTACTTATGTTCTGTGGTCCTGGGGATTGAACCCAGGGGTGCTCTACCACTGAGCTACATTCCCATTCCTTTTTTATTTTGTTGCTCAGGCTGGCCTCAAACTCCTGATCCTCCTGCCTCAGCCTCCAGAGTCACTGGGATTACAGGTGTAAGCCACTGTGCTCAGCTCACCTCCTGCCTCATGTACCTTGGACCCCTTGCTCACCCCCTCCAGCGGTGCTGCCCTAATCATTCTCATTATTCCCCAGTTCTCYCCTCCCCCACCAAGTCAGCTTACCAGTTAACCTCTGCTCTTCTTGAAGACTCAGCTCAAACCTCACTGACTRCGGGGAGCTTTTCCAGGACCCTGGGCCTAAGCTAGGTTCCTGGGTATCCCCTCTTCCTGCCACAGCTCTGGAGCTGTGACCGGTATGAGCATATGTGAAAGTGAGAATGATGCCTGCATCTCCTGAGCTACCAGCTCCGGGAGGGGCAGAGAGGTCAGCCACCTGTCTGCTCACTGCTAMGTCCCCAGCCACCTAAGCAAGTGCTTAATACATGCAGCTACTATGTATGGGACTGACCCATAGTAGGTGCTCAATAAATGTGGCTGCTATACCAAGTGGTCTAGCATACAGGGGGTACTCAATAAATGCAGCGATAGGTTGAGCTTCCTCTCATCCAAAATACTTGGGACCAAAAGTGTTTCATACTTCAGATTTTGGAATCTTTATATGTATGCAATGAGGTATTTTGGGGATGAGACCTAAGCCTAAAGATGAATTTTATTTTATTTTATGTCTTGGTACTAGGTATTGAACTTTGGGGTGCTTTACCACTGAGCGACCTCCCTATCTCTTTTAATTTTTAAGTTTTGAGACAAGGTCTCCCTAAGTTGCTGAGTCTGGTCTTGAACTTGGGATCCTCCTTCCTCCACCTCCTGAGTTGCTGAGTTTACAGGTGCKCACCACCACACACAGCTTGCACATGAAATTAATTTGTGTTTCTTCTACACCTCATGCCTCACTCACAGAGGCTGAACATAATTTTACACAATATTCTGATGGACCTGTGTTTTGACTGGGACCCATCAAGTCAGGGGTGGACTTTGCTCCACGCTGGTGGGCCTTTCAGATTTCAGGTTTGTGGATTAGGGACGCTCAACCTGTACAGTGGGGGTTCTGGATGGGCACCTTGTTCTTCTCGAAGAGCGCAGCCTGGCTGGCCCGCAGGTCGCAGTCCAGGGCGCTGGCTGTTTGTCGCCGTCGCCGGGCCAGGGCCTCCTCCAGGTCGCTGACCTGAGCGCGCAGCTTCTTGTTCTCCCGCTCCAGGCCCAGCTTCTCGGTCTCCAGCCGCTCCCGCCGGCCCCACTCGGCCGCATTCTCGGCCTGCAGACGCTCCATCTGCGACAGCAGGGACGGAGTGAGCCCCTGGGGGAGGGGGCTGGAGGCCCCCACCACCCCCAGCCGGTTTTGGCTGCAGGAAGTCAGATCCAGCTGCAGCCGCTATATTAAGCCAAGCGCCTTCCACGTGCGCAGGATGTGGGGCGCTTCTGGTCTTTGTGAAGCGTTGGGGGGATCTCTGCAGACTGGGGGATCCTGGGGGCGTGGCTGACCCCCCCAGGGCAGACCTGGCTGGGCGCTTCCCGGTGACTGCGGATGGGGGGCCCCTCACCTCGCCCCGCAGCTCAGCCATCTTCCGGTCCATGCTGGAGCGCGCGCCCAGCTCGTCCTCCAGGTCCTCGGACATGCGGCCCAGCTCGTCCTGGTGCGCCTCCTTCAGGATGCTGAGCTGCAAGGACACCGCCCAGCCTGTTTACAAGAAAACCGCGGGATCCATCCCTAACAGGCCTGGGGAGGTGCTCAGCAGAGAGCCTTAGCCGTGCCCCCAGTGGGGACAGGTGTCCAGACAGGCCCCGACTCTGACCACTCTGCCATTTCCACTGTCGGCCGCTTCCTGCCCCTTACCATGGAGCCCCCCAGGGTTCACCGTGGCCTCCTCGCCATTCTCCAGGACAGGGCCCCAGCTGGAGCTTTGAAGAGGGCCAAATTCCAAAGGATGCCCCTCGCCACACCAAAACCCCCTTTGATGGCTCCCAGGGGGTACTTGGGACAAATCCAACTCCTGTGATCTCAGGTGTCCTGCACAATGGGAGTCTCGTCCGCTTTCCTCAGCCTCATTTCCCACCGCTGTCCCCTCGATTACTCGAACTCACCGAGTTCCTGCCTATCACGCGGCCTCTGCTTGTGTGCCTGGAACACTCTGAGGTATTTAGCAGGATTGGCTCTTTTTATCCCCAGGCCATAGCCTAAAGGCCCCCACCCTGAGGAGGCCTCTCCTGGCCACCCGGCCTAGTGGCCCACTGGAATTGCAAGTTGAAGGGACAGGCAACACGTCCATCTTCTGCCTGTGTCCCTGCGTGGCCCAGGTACAGCAACCCTCAGCATGCACTGATCTAAACACAGGTGCACCAGAATCCCTTGGGGTGCTTTTAAAATACTACCATTCCCTGCTGGCCACCACTGGGACCCGGCACACTACTGCTCCACGTGAGCTTGACAATGAGACTTAATCAYGCCTAGAGAAAGGCCCCGGATGCAAGAGAGAGAATTTCTGCTAAACTGTGTATTTGTGTTTCACTCACGTTTCTTCAAATGATTACTCTTCACAAGTTGAGGAGATTAATGAGGTAGGGTTCTGGACTCAAGCCCCTAAGATGATGGATGATTCAGGAAGGAAGGAAGGGGTCTGCTTCTTGGACTTTTAGGAGCTTCCCTAAGAGGTTCTAAGGGAAGACCAGACTCCTCCAGGGCGCAGCCTCAGGTTGTGCAGTGTCCCAGGTCCTCCTATCTCTGGGAACCCAGTGGATCCAGCCTGGCTTTCCCTGGCTGGCTGTGCCCCCTGGTGGCCACTGAGGTCTGCACAGGAGGCAGAAGTGGCAGCCCAGCCTTTCCTGAGACCCCTAATTGCAGTGGTCACTCCCCTCTACGGAGCCTCAGTTTCCTCTTCTGTAATATGGGGATGTGAGGACCAGTTCCCTCGACTGCCACGAGATCCAGCACACCCCAGGCACCCAAGGAACATCACACCCCATTCCTTCACCCTTCGTCCTGTGAGATCTGGACCACTTTGTGGCCTCACCTCTCACTACTCTCCAGCCACAGTGACCTTCTCTGTGTCCTTCACTCTCTAGGCTTGTTCTGGCCATAGGATGTTTGCATTTGCTGTGAACAGCTGCTCCCATCCCTTCTGAAGGATGGCTTCTTCTAACCCCTTAGGTCTGGCCTCAAATGTCACCTTAGAGAGGCCCTTCCTGGCCCGCCACTCCTGTGTCTCATTGTCTCATGACATTATGTGTCTGGTTATTGCCACCCCCCTGCCCCTGGCTTCCACAGGTGACCTCCTGAAGGTACCCTGATACCCAGAACCACTGAGGAATGAATTCTATCTGTCTCCCATCCCAACTCCCAAGATTCAATAGCGTGTTTCTGCCATCTCCAGGAAGACCCGCTGTCCCCAACTCACCTGCTTGAGCATCTCCTGCTTGGTCTTGCTCAGCTCCTCATACTTGATCTTCCACTGGCTCAGCTCCCCCTCCAGCTTCTCAATGTTCCTGCTCAGGGCCATCTTATCCCTGGGGAAGGAACAGGAAGGGGCAGGCAGACACCTGTATTTCAATTTCAGTTAGGACATTGCGGATTGATGGGCAGCGCTGGGGATTGAACCCAGGGCCTTGTGCATGGGAGGCAAGAGCTCTACCATTGAGCTACCTCCATTACCATTAGGTGGATTTTCATTTGTTTGGTATTTTTGGCTTAAACAGCAGCAATTTATTGTCTCTCAGATTTGGAGTCTGGAAGTCCAAGGTCACATGCTGGCAGGGGTGGTCCTATCTTGGGCTGTGAGAAGGTACCTGTTTCAGGCCCCTCTCCTAGCTTTGGGTGGTTTTCTTGGCCAAAGAGGCAATGACCTCTGCAGAAGCATCACCACAGCCTTCACCCTTACAAAGGCGTTTGGTTCTTCTACYCACTGTGGAGCTGGCGGCCAAACCCAGGGCCTTGTGCAGGCTACACAGCTCTCTATCACTCTCTCCCCAACCAGAACRCACGCTCCATAGAGGCAGGGACTTGTCTTATTTATGGCCGTGTGGTCAGGACTGAGCACAGCGCCCAGTCCAGAGCAGATGTATTATTAGGATGAATCAAGAAAAACCTGCTGTGGGTCCTCCAAAACCCAAGGCTGGTGCCTGAACAGCACCTGCACCCTAGCGGCTCTCAGGTGCCGTCACACTGACTTTCCTTCTGGCCCAGCCCCAAGTCCCTGCCTGCCCCACACTCACTCTCGCTCCTTGAGCAGCACCTTCTGGGACTCGTCCAGCCGAAGGCGCAGGGCGGTCAGCTTGGAGGTGTCCTCCTCGGTGCTGGCGGTGTCCTCCCAGGGTAGCCGGCTGCGCTCCTGGCGGCTGGAGCTGCCCCGAGGGCCCCCAGACCCCAGGCTGCGAGCCTCCCAGCAGCCCTCGGGCTCCTCTGGTCTGTTCTTCAGGAGGGTCTCCACCAGCTCCAGGTCCTGTGGGGATCAAGGTGGGGGCTACAGCAGTGGCCACTGAACCCCGGGCCTGGAGGCCTTTCTCCTGGCCTCTCTAGACCCTGGTCTGGGATCAGCGTGGAAGTCACGCAGTGTCTCTGGGCCCGGTTTCCTCTCCTGCAGCCTGCCTTGAGTCTCTGGGAAGAGGGACACCCTTCACCTCCTGGAACTGCAGGCAGACATCAAGGTTTCCTGTATCCTGGGAGACTCCCCAGGAAAGGTGCTGTGTTTCCTGGTCACTGGACACACACAAACGTACAATGGCACCGGTCAGAACCAACGCCGAGGCTCAGGTTCCTCCTAGGGCTTAGGAAGATCCCCTCAGAGGAGTCCCAGCTCTCCAGTCCTATTTTTTAGGGGCAGACACTGAGGCATGCGGAGGACAGTGGCTCTGGGGAGTCCCCAAGGGGTGATCTTTTACTCCTCCTGGATCTCAGATTATCGTGAGTGGGGTGCCCTGGATGTCACCTGGCCCAAATCCCCTTTTCACAAATTGTGAAACAGGGATGGAAGGGACTTGTTCTGGATCACAGGACACAGAAGTGGCTGTCAAGAATGTAAGCTCAGACTGCAGACCCAGGGCTCTCCCCAGGTCCCCACAGCCTCCTGACTGTGATCATAACCAGAATGAGTATTAGGCAGGAGCAGCACTGTGAGGCCCTGAAAGGAACTGGAACCTCTCCAAACACCAGGCCAACTTGGGGAGAGGTGCCTCCGTCACCAGAGGTGGCAGTGCCCACTCTAGCCCAGAGAGGGGGCTGGGCCCAGACAAGGGGCTGCCAAGATGCTCGTCTGGAAAGGGGCTGTCTGGGTCTGGAAGTGGGGAGCAGAACCAGGACCCTGCCTCAGGTGGCCTTCTGGAAAAGGCCTGCTGGCCCAGCGGCTCTGACCATTCATGCTCCAGCCATACTGACTGTCAGAATCTGGAGCCACATGGCCTGGGTTCAAACTCACTCTAATCACCAGCTTGGACCTTGGTTCTGACCCTTCTGTGCCCTGGGTCCTTAGAAGGACTGCAGGGATAGACTAAGTAATGTGCACTCAGTGCTTAGCAGGCAGAGGCACTGGGCATAGGCACTGGGCCAGGGGGCAGTTGTTGCCATTCCCCAACCCCCCCCCCCCCAGGCCCTCTCAGCCTCTGACCTTTGCAGTTTCAGTGCCGTCTGGTTCTGTTGACTTCTCAGGTGTGGGACTAGAGGGACCAATAGAACCTGGGATTCTCTCCCCCGAGGATCAACGGAAGGAGGTGATCCAGAGCCCAACCTGCAGACCACCCCCACCACCCAGGTGGCCTGGCCCTCACCACTCCTTTTGGAGCCCTGCAGCCCTGACTTCTGGCCAGGTCCATCAGCCTCACTCACTTCCAGACCCAGGCAAAAGGCCGGCACCTCCTCTCAAACCGGGCCTCCACGCACCTGGCTGCCCTGGGGCCTCTCCGACCCGACGTCGCGCACCGGCTCATGCTCCCGCTCTGGATCCGGCTCTGGGTCTTCGTGTGTCTTGTCCGCGGCGCCTCGGGAGCCCCGCAGCAGCGCCAGCTCGCGGCCCCGCGCCTCGCACTCTCCCTGCGCTTCTTGGCGCTCGCGCCGCGCACCAGCCAGCTCCTTGGTGAGCGCGTCCAGGCGCTGGCGCAGCTGGCGCACCTCCTCGCGCGCGCGGTTGCGCTCGGCGCGGACCTTGCTCCACTTCTCGCGCCAGTTGGCCGTGCAGTCCGACCACCAGCGCATGGTCTTCTCCATCTGCGCCGCTCGGGCGCGCGCCTCCTCAAGCTCCCGCAAGCGCAGCTCCTCGCGGCTCTCCCAGTCCCCGTCGGCCAGCAGCGTGGACGGCGGTGGCAAGGGCAGCGCGGGCGGCGGCCCCGGCGAGGGCGTGCCGCTGGGTGGCGTGGGGGGCAGCGAGTCGATCGGCCCCATGCGCTCGGGCGACGGACTGCCCAGGATGGTCAGCAGGCTGCCCTTGGATAGCTGCGGGGACTCGGCCAGTCGGGGACTTGGCCCGTGGCTCATGGCGCGGCCAGGGAGGGTGCTGGGCTCGAACTTGTGGCTGGGTTCAGAAGCGGCGGGGGGGACGCCTGGCGTTACCACTGTGCATGATGGTCACGGCGACCCACTGCTTGCCAGGCCATCAGGTAGAGATGCCTCCTCGTATCTGAGGGAGAAGGCAACCATTATTAGGCTGTGACCACCGTAGGTCCATAAAATGGGCCACAGCGGCTGGACTGGCGCGGGAACAGCCCTGGCAGAGGCGGGAGGAGGGAGGTGTGTTCCAGGGCAACCAGTGACAGAGGCAGGCCTGGCGCGCAAGGGCCTGCAGATGCACCTGAGTCCCTTCCCGCAGCAGCTCAGCTGATTTGAAACCTGGATTTGCTGTCCTTGACCTCCTTGGTGACATCTCACACTGAATGGCCTGTAAGACCGGCCCACCTTCACACACCCTGGGCAACTCCTCAGAGCTATCACCTCCTCTGGCCACCCCTCAGGCCAGGCCCATCAGCCCTGCCCCGTCTCCCTCACCACACTAACCAGCCTTCTGGACCATTTACCCGAGTCTGCTCCCCACCTCATCCCAGGCTGCCAGTCTGCTAAGGACAGGGGCTGGGTCCTGGCCACTGTTGTAGTTCAAGCACCATAGCAATGACCATTTGTATAGGGCTGATGGCAGCGGGTACCTTGCCCAAGGCTATCTGTGAATTACCTCCTGTGTTCCTCTCAGACTTGAGGTGAAAGTCATGGCCATTACCATGTCTATGAATTCAGATCCAAACACCAGTGCAGAGTTGTTGAATAAAGGCACTGGCTGGCGACAAGTGATGGAAACAACTTTAGACCAGGGGGTTCTGGGGTGGCTTCTCCACTGGAGCTGCGCTTTCTGACCTCCTCATGGTGGCAAACACCTGGGTATCTCACCCAGCCTCCCGCTTTGCCCAGCACTGGCTCTGCAATTCATGGACACAACACCCTCCTTTTGGTACCAGTAATTGAACTCAGGGACACTTAAACACTGAGCAACATCTCAGCCCTTTTTTATATTTTATTTAGAGACAGGGTCTCGCTGAGTTGCTTAGGGCCTTGCTAAGTTGCTGAGGCTGGYTTTGAACTCGCGATCCTCCTGGCTCAGCCTCCTGAGCCTCTGGGATCATAGGTGTGTGCCACTGCCTGCTAATATCCTCCTTTTCAATAAATGAGATGCCTGTCCTTCTGTGTCCCTAACATGCCTTACTACATCAGTCTTTCAGGCTAGTCATACCTGCCCCTAAGACCTGCCCTTGTGGTGGGACTCCACATCAAACTGTGTGGACTCTGGGCCTCCACCTCCTTCCAGTCTCCAGCCCTCGCTGTTGGCGGTGTATCTACTGTGAATGGGAAGCTGACAGCACTGTGCCCCGCCCCCCCAGCCTGAGAGGACATGGGAGGTCTCCTTCCTTGGGTCCAAGGCCCGTCCCCGCCCACCCCACCCTGCTAATGCTGTCCTCTCTGGGGCCTTCCCCCTGCTGCAGTCCATCCTGGCACTCCCCCCTCCCTGCCCTCTCTTCTCCCTTTTAAGGCCACACAGAGTGGCCCACACTTGCTGTCCTCCCTCCATCCACTCCTTGGCCTCTCATGGGCCACCCCACTGTGTCACCATGTCCTCTCTAGCTCCTGGCACACCAGCGCTCCTCTTGCTTGCATGGCTCTTCCAGGATGCTGTCCTCCCTCCCCTCTGGCTGCTCCTCTCAGCCCAGCTGGTCAGTTCCCAGGGGTGCCCCTCAGTGCTGCTGCCACCCAGCAGCCTGGGCCCTTCTCCTGCGGCCGGTGCCTGGCCATCTCCCTCATACTCTGACTCCTTCAAATCCACTGTCCACAGCAATACTGGAGTGGCTGTTTAACGACCCAAGCCTGGCGCTCATGCCCCCTGGCTCATTACCAAAGGCCAGAACCCCTCTCCCGCTTCAATCCCAGGCTCACTCCGCCCCCGGGCCTCCAGCTCCAGCAGGTCTTCAGTGGCAAAGGAGCCCCTGAGCATCATCTGCACCACCCTGTCTTCTAACAGGGCTCACGCTCCATGGTCCTGATCTCTCCCTTGCAAAACCCAACAGCCCCTTCCCATTCTTTCCCCAGGCAAATGCTGGCCTCGCTGCTGCTCTGCCGCTCTGCCTGCTCCTGCCTTTGACAGCACAGCCAGGTGTCCCAGGTCTTGCACCACCACTTTAAATCTCTGGCTTTTGTGTCGTGGCTCCTCAGGGACCCTACTATGGACCTCTAGTCCTCTGGCTGTTTGTTTATTATTTCACCCGACAGGTACTCTAGGCCCAGCTCTGCCACCAACCTCTGGGTCTTTCTGGGCCTCGGTTCCCCTCCTTGTACAATGGGAGAGGAGTAAGGAAGCAAAGTCCTACTCCCCCCACGGCTGGCAGTACGGGGTCTTTTACCTGGGCCTTGCACACGCTAGGCTAGTCTTCTTCCACTGAGCCCTGGCCCTTTATTTTTAAAACTTTGAGACAGGATCTCACTAAGTTGCCCAGGTTGATCTTGAACTTGTGATCCTCCTGCCTCAGCCTCCTGTAGCTGGGATTGCAGCAGTGCCACCATGCCTGGCTGGAGCTCGGCACTTCTTCATGAGGTTGCTTCAGATTTATCTGGACAGTTGAAATGCAGCTGCCTGGCCCTAGTGCCCAGACAATGATGCTCAAGAGGTGTGAGCCTGGGAATTTTAGGAGTCCCAAGTTTGGGACATTTTAGCATTTTATGTGGTGCTACCTTCTCACCACCCAGTTTCAGACACACAAACACTTGTCCTGTGCCAACCCCACCTATGCAGCCACACAGAGCCAGGCCCCAGTTCCAGAGGGATCCCTAGCAGGCCAAGTGCCCTTGTGATCAGGGTCTTTGCCTGTGCAATGGGGTAGCTGGCCTGGAGGCCCACTGGTGCCCAGACATCTGTGCACACACAGACACCTCTGCAGACACACATGCAATCCCACGCACATAAACACACCAGCAAGACACGAGACCGACCCACGTGCACACACAACTACATGGTCCATGGAGAAGCTCACCTGTAGACTCAGACTCACCTGCAGACATACATCATGTCAACCTACCCACAGGACACACAAAGATGTCCTCATCCCTAGAAGCAGACACACAAACTCACATGCACACACAGACACGCGCGTGCCTCCTCTCCCCATCTTCCTGGCCCAACTCCACATGGAGAAGTTCTTGGAAAAGAAAAACAATGTGTGCGGCTGCGGAGAGGGGGAGGGGTGGCGGAAACCCAGTGGCAGCCCCACAGCCCTCCCGCTGGTGCTGGCCCAGCCTGTCTGCTGGGCCCTTCCTGTAGCCCCTAAGGTAGCCATGTGGCAGGAAGGGGCACTGCCACATCCTCTGCCTCTGAAGTTGCCAGGCCTGGCGTGGGGCTTGGCCAGGACCTGGGTGCTGATTCCTTCCAGGAATCCCAAGCCCGAGGTGCAGGGGCAGGGCAGGCGCCACCCAGACCCCTAATGGCTTCCAGGCACCCACTCAAGAGGTGGGGGTGGGGGCTCCAGTCAGTCCTTATTCCCCTTCCCAGCTGCCTGGCAGGGTTCCTCCTGGGGGCTGGAGCAGCGGGAGCAGGGAGACTGGGGGACAAGCCTCCTTCCTTTCCCCTACAGGGCCTGGAGGGGTGTGTGCATGCGTGTGGGGATGGGTGGGGGCAAGGTCCTCAGGTTGGTTTATGGAGAAGCCCACCCCACTGGCACAGCAGAAATCCTGCGCGTGTGCGTAGACCCAAGGGCAGCCAGACCTGCCTAGCAATGCCACCCCCTCCATAACAGCCTTGGGGACTCCCTGAGGGGGCAGATGCAGCTGAGGCACAGGGAACAGCTGTACAGGTAGGCTCCAGCGGTGACCCCCTCCCCACCACCCCACCTTCCCCTTCCCACCACAAGGCTCAGTGCATGGGGAGCTCCTATGTGTGGGTGGCGGGTTGATTCCCTCAGGGTGTCACCACCCCCAAGGAGCAGGTCAGGGTGGGCCCAGCCATCACAGGCCCTCCCCGCTCCTGCCTCCCTGGGTTTCTGTTCAGGCTACCCTGGGCATTCCGAGTACCCCTCCCACTCTCCAAAACCCCCACCCATCCTTCCAGCTCAGTTGCCACCACCACCAGGAAATGCCTTGATGTCCCCATTCCCATCCCCCACCTGGGGGGCACAGCCCCGTAACCTCCCACAGTCAGGCCTGGCCAGCTGCCCTCTCATTTTACAGCACAGGTTTCACCCACCCAGAAGGGACACTTGGGCAACCTAGAGCTTCTAGGACAGGCTCTGTATACAGCAGTTGCTTAAAGTTGGCTGATAATGGAGAGCAGGAAGGTGAACCATGATCTTGTATTCCATTAGTGGGCAGTGGATCTGAGTGGGAATCCCAGCCCACTGTTGTGTTCACTGCCTGTGCCACGACAGAAGCAAGAAGGTCTGAATCCAACATTCACTACAGTACAGCCTCAGCAGCCCTACCCCCAGAAAAAGACCAGGATCCTCTTGTTCACAGATCTATCTGGAATGTCTCTCCCTCCTTTCTCCATCAGCAAACTTCTGCAGAGCATTTAAAACCCCAGCATCCACTCCCTTAGGAAGCCTCCCTTAATCTCTGTGTGCAGAGTGTAGTGCCCCCAAACACCAGGTGCCTCCCTGGGTTTCAGCCATGGCCACTCTGTGAAGTCCATGAGAGCATGTGGTCCTGCAGAGCCCAGCTTACAGCAAACGCCGTGTGAATGCTACCTGGGCTGATGGATAGAAGAGGGACCATGCTTCTGTTAGGATCCCCTTGTGACCAGGGACAGTGTGGAAGGGTTGAGCTATCTTGAAAATCAGAAGTCGGTTTTTGGCCAGGCTCTAAGACAGGTAGGTGTCTGAACCTGTTTGTGACCAAGGTCAGAATCAGAGGTGATCTCCAGGCCACTCAGGGTCTGGCATCTTGCCCAAGGAAGCGTGACAACTTCGTGTTTTGTCTTTAATATGTATGGGTAGGTCTCTCCATATCCACTGAGTTGTGAGCAATGCTAAGACCTGGACCGCGGCCAGCTGACGGGATGGGGGGCCCAGAAGCACTGACTGCTCCTCCCAAGAACACTCAAAACCCCCTGTGTCCTCCCAGAACCTTTCAGGTAGGGCTGTGGGGCAAGCCCAGGGCCACAGGCCTGGCTGTGGGCAGGGAGCAGAGCCCAGCAGGAAACCACAGAGAACAGCCTGATTGGATAAGTGTAGGGCCCATGGCTGGTCAGGCCGCAGGCTGTGGGCACCTGTCCCTCTGACCTGCTGCCTACACTCCAGCCGTTGGACCTCCAGAGGAGAACTGGGAGTCCAGAAAACTGGTCTCCAGGCTGGAACTGAGCCCAGCAGTGGGCACCCTGGCTGTTTCCAACTGCCCCCTCGTCTCATACTGAACAGCCACAACGATATCCTGGATGACAGAATGGAACTCCTTTCTTTACAGATGGGGCAACCGAGGTCCGGAAGGACAGCTATGTGTCCCCACACATCGTGTACCAGCAGCAAAGCCAGGACAGGGAGCTGGGGTATTGGGATTGGTTGCCTTCTCTCCTGGGTCATGACCACCTTAAGGGGACAATGCCTCTGGGAGCACCTATAAAATGGAGTCCTCGGGTACCAGTGCACAAGTCCCTGGCCTCTCAGGGCCTCAGTTTACCTACCTACAGGGTAGAGAAAGACATTAATAAAATTCCTAAAAAGATCTAACCAAGAGGCGGGCAGGAGTGTGCTCAACGGAACCAGTCCAACCCCCACCATCGCTATGTGGGGTGGACAGGGTTACTATGCCCACTTAAGGCAGGCAAACCGCAGCCCCGGGTGAAGAACGGGCTAGTCGCGATCAACGCTGGTACCCCGGGAACGGTGGGGCGACTGAGACCCCCTCCCTTCCCTTCGCAGTAAGCCGTGGCTCCACCTGCCCCAACTCCTTCCAGAAGTTAGTTTCCAGCTTCCCCAGTCGCCTTGGTCCTCACTTCGCCGCCCGCTTTGCTATCGCCCGGGTCCTGTGCGCCCCCCAGCGCCCCCTAGCGGCGGCCCGCGGGTCTCCGTCTGGCGCGGGGCGGCCCCACTCATCCCACCGAAGGGCCCCCATTGGCCACCGCCGCGAGTCTGGGCGGGGCTCCGCGCCCCGATTGGCCAGTGCCGCCTGTCCATCCCGCATTCGCCATGGTGACCACGTTGGGTCCCCCGGGAGAGTTCCACATTCCGCCCCCGYCCGCCGCCCCCTCCCGCCGGCCGGGCCCCCGCCCGCGACATTCCGAGGGCGGCCCCCTCCCCCACTGCCCCTCCTCGCCGAAGGCCCGGAGCCCAGGGAGGTGGGGGAGTCCCCCGGGGGAGGGGGCCAGAAAGTTCTGCTCTGAGTTTGGGGGCTGCTGCGGGCGCCCCAGGCTCCCCTCTCCTCCAGTCCGCCCCAACTTAACTCCTTCCCTCCCACGGGAGGCTCGCGCCCTGAGCGTGTTCCKGAGCCGCGGTGGCTTCCCGCGTCCCACCCCGCTGTCCCCGCTCACCTCGGGCCGGGCCGGCCGTGGCTCCGGACGTGGGGCCGCGGCGGCTGGGTGGAGCGGGCACGGGGCTGGCCGCGGCCGTCGCCGGGAGGGCCGAGGGAGGGCCGCCGAGTCTCCTCCTCCCTCCCGGGGGGAGGCGAAGGGGGGGCGGCGGGGACCCCGGCGCGAGCRCCCGCCGTGGCCCGGCTGCGACCCCGGCCCGCGGAGTCACTGGGTTGGGGGACTCCAGCCTGACTGCAGGCCAGGGGCGAGGGGAGCSGGGCGCGGGCCGCGGCGGAGGGCCCGGCTGGAGAGCGGCAGGACCCCGACGAGGCCCCACCCTCGCGTGGGGGCTGGCGCTTGCGGGGACCCGAAAGCAGATCGGGGGCCACGGGGCTTCGCTTTCCCGAAGTCTCAGGTTGCCCGAGCGCCAGCGACATGCTAGGTGTCCCGGGGCAGAAGTGGGCACCGCGGTCCCCAGCTCACAGGTGGAGGAGCGGTGACTCTTGACTTTTGTTAATTGCGTTCTTTCTAGGGCCAGCGATGTCACCCAGTAGGGCTCAGTTTCCCTTTCAGTACAACTAAAGCGTTGACTAAATCAACCTTACACCTGTTAGGAGTAGTGGGGACCTGGCCCCACGTGTGGAGACTTCTTTAAGATATTCTATGGTGCTTGGGGGCGAAGGGACACGTGCACGACCCTTTAGGGCTTCCTCTGTCTTGGCAGTAGGCTGTCTGCTGTTTTGACAGGCAAGGGGTGTTGAGAGGATGTCTCCTGATCGCATCCTGTACCCTGGAAGTCCRCTTGAAGGTGCATGTATTTAAAAAAAAAGAGGACCCCAAACTTACAGAGATGGAGGGAACCCCGCTGGGGTGGGTTATGACCTCGAAAAAGTAAAAATGACGATGTTTGTTCTACCCCATCACTAAAAATATGGATTGTCATCTCAACCACGCACAAGCTAGAGTGAAGAATGAAATCGAATGCTAATAATATTTGAAGGCCTTTTTTTTCCCCTAACAAAGTTGAGAGTAAGCATCCTTCCCTTCTAACACTTTTTTTTTTTTTTTAGCTAGAGGATGCTTTTTTTTTTGCAAAAATTTGAGGGCTTCCTCAAACCTGAGGATCACTCTGAACCCTTTGAAGGCCCCACCTTTCTTTTGGGAAGGTCCCAGTCACTTCCTTTACATTTGTTCTGTGTCTCTGCGGTCATCCACTGCTGGCTTCTCAGTATTGCTCCCATCTGCTTCATGAAATCCCACACTTTTTTGCAAGATTTACAGTTTCACTTGTGGATTCATTTGCTGTGTATGTGTTCTGCATGGCAGCYTGCTGACAGCAGCTGATAACCAACTGGAAACAGGTTTTGTGGTAATACAAGTTTGGAGTTTGGTTAACGTGCCAATTACTAATCTGCACAACACGTGGCACTGTGCTGGCCTTTGCTTCCTGTGCAGTTTGGACCTGTGAGATCTTGACATTGAGAACTCAGGACAAGGACACCCCCTTTTTAAAAAGTGTGGTACTGGGGATTAACCCAGAAGCACTCTACTACCGAGCTACACTCCCGTGCCTTTTAATTTATTTTTTGAGACAGGGTCTCACTAAATTGACTACGTTGGCCTTGAACTCAGCCTCCCGAGTTGCCTGGAATACAGGTGTGTGCTACCATGACAGGTTTTAGGGCACACAACCCACAACCTTTTTTTTTTTTTGAGGGGGTACTGGGGATTCAACTCAGGGGCACTTAGCCACTGAGCCACATCCCCAGCCCTATTTTGTATTTTATGTAGAGGCAGGGTCTCATTGAGTTGCTTAGTGCCTCACTGTTGCTGAGTCTGGCTTTGAACTTGTGATTCTACTGTACCTGGCTTAGTTTTTTAAATTTTGAGACAGAGTTTCACTAAGTTCCTTAGAACCTCGCTAAGTTGCTGAGGCTAGGTTTGAACCAGTGATCCTCCTGCCTCAGCCTCCAGAGTTGTAGGGATTATGGGCATGCACCACTGTACAGCAGGGCATGCAGCCTTTATGTTGGGGAATTGAAGCCTCAGAGAGGCTCTTGACTGGGATTTATACAGGGTCTCACAGCCAGTAAGTGACAGCCTTGAGCCAAGTGCCAGGAGTTCTTTCCCAGAGTCTTTGGAGGCGAGGCCGAGTTGGTATACGTAAACTCTGCCTATAACTTCATCACGATCGGGCCCTCCGTGCAAGAGACCGTAAGGGAGATCCCTGGTGGGACATTAGAGCAAGTGAGTCACACCGTGAACAAATCAACAGGGTGAGGTGAGGTGGGCTGGGAGGAGGGGGACCCACTCACTCAGAGAACCCAGATGAGTGCTGGGCAGCTCACAGAGTTACCGAGTTTCATCCACGCAGTACGCTGGGTGTGGCCACCGCCCGTTCCATCACCAGGAAAGGGAACCAGAAGCTGGTTGGCCCCAGCTCTTACCAGGACGCCTCAGAGCCCAGATCTGACTCTCAGTTTTACCACTGCCACCCCTGCTCCTAACATTGCCCCTCCAGGCACTTCCGAAAATGCAATACTGGCTTATCCCAGGGGCTCTGGCAGAGTATCTGTCCCCAAGTCAGGACGGCAGGGCTTTTGTCTGAGGCAGTAGACCCCGTGCTCAGCAGTTCTCTCCAACACCCAGGCCCCTACTTTCAGCCACCAACACAAAGCACTTGGGCCCTTATTTACTTGGTGTTTTTCTTTAAGTCATTTCACTTTGGGGGGGTATAAGTGCATTTTCAAGGACTATTTCATATGACTAGGGAAAACAGAACTCTGTACTAGTTGCCATAAACAGAAACAAATCAGAAATCAACAGCATGCAAAGCCAACAACGTCATTCAAAGCTAGCTAGACATTTTCTCTTTGTTAGAAAGGGACATGGTGGGCACATCCTTGTTCAGAGCAGCAGTAGCCAAAAGGTGGAAACAGCCCAGGTGGCCCTCTGCAGACGCGTCTGTCGGATGAAGGAACGTGACATATTCGTACAGTGGAATATCAAAAGAGTTGACGTTCTGGTGTGCTCACCGTGGGTGAAACTTCAGGCCATTGTGCCTGGTGACCTAGCCAGTCACAAAAGGACAAATACTGTATGAGTCCACTCGTGGGAGGTACAGGTACCTAGAATAACCAAATTCATAGACAGGAAGTAGAATGGTGGTCTCCATGGGGGTGGGTGAATGGGGAGTGGGGACAGAGGTTCAGTTTGGGAAGATGGAAAGTTCTGGTGACAGCCACACATCAGTGTGACTGCACTTCATGCCACTGAACTCTATGCTTGAACACGGCTAATGTGGTGAACTTCATGTTATATATATTTTATCACAATAAATATGTAAAATCAGGTATCTTATTTTTGAGGTCTAATAAAAGACAGAAGAGTGTGGGGGCGCTACAGACAGCTAGGTGCAGTGGCGCACACCTGTAATCCCAGATGCTCCGGAGGCTGAGGCAGGAGGATTGCTAGTTCAAAGCCAGCCTCAGCACCTTAGTGTGGACCTAAGCAACTCAGTGAGACCCTGTTTCTAAAATACACACACACACACACACACACACACACACACACACACACACATATATATACAAAAAAATGGCTGGGGATATGGCTCAGTGGTTAAATGCCACTTAGTTTAATCCCCCGTACTAAAAAAAAAAAAAAAGAAAGAGGCTACTACACAGAGGCCTCTGATTGAGAAGGACTTGGAAAGTCGAGGACTTGTTCATGGTGTGACTCGGTTGCTCTAATGTCCCACTAGGGACCTCCCTTTCAGTCTCTTKCAGATCACCAGGCTGAGCAGCCCTCCACAGGGAGACTTCTTTAGGGATGGCATGTGGCCCTCCATCTTGCCTGGGGGACTGGGCAGGGCACTGGCATGCCTCCCTACGCTTGGCCTCCAGGTGATTTTGTGGGGCAGCAGAGGCAGAGAAGCCTTCTGGGAGGAGGCGGGACTTGAGCTGAACCCCACGGGTGGAGAGGAGTCTATCCAGGACTGGGGGTGTGTGTGTGTCATCTCCCTGGGATGGAGCAGGGAGATGGGCAYCGCCAGAACTGGGTGGGAGCAAGTTGGATGGGTTAGACTGGGAAGGCAATAGGGAGCCACTACTGGCTTTTGAGCAGGAGAGTGTCTAGGAGTGAGTGCCAGCTGGGGTGTGCAGGGCCAGGTAACTGGCACTCCCGGCCGAGGCGGGACACAGTGAGGCTCTACAAATGCAGCCTAGGACACCGATGGGCTGGCAGCGGGCAGGCCTCTTCCTGGCCGCTGAGAGTAGCTGTTCAGGCTCCCATGTAGTGTGAGAAAGCAGGACACTGGTGATTCAGTCCTAGAGGTGCCAGGAGACTTCAGGCGGGAAGAGCCTAGAGGTCAAGTTCTAGGTTACGGTCAGAGAAAACCAAAGTGCAGTGCCTGRGGGTGTAGCTTAGTGGTAGAGAGCTTATGCTGGGTTCCCTCCTCGGGACCACAACACAACAAAGTACCCAGAAAGGCCAGGGCTGAGCAAGTCACCCAGCAGGGGTGTGGCCACAGAGTCAGGACACAGTGCACTGGGGTTCTTGCACTGAAGCTGGGGCTGGGGACATGGCTGCCTTCTGAGGAGTGGCTCCTCTCTCCTTCCCTGCAGAGCCACCTGGCCACCATAGAGCCTTCTGTGCTGGGGCTCATGCTAGAGGGCGAAGAGGGTGGGTCAGAGAGGAGGGAGGCCGCAGGCGCCTTTCTGGTCTYTCTCTGGCTGCATCTCCATCTTCTTCTGGGCGTGGACCAGCACAGGGAGTCTGGGTGGGGACCAGGCAAGAGTCAGCACCCTATCTCCCCCTAACTCTGCTGCCAGGGAGCTCTGCTGCCTGGGAGGCCGTTCCCCGAGGGTTCTGCTACTGGGTAACTGAGGGCCAGGTCACCTTCTCTTTGGGCCTCAGGTTCCCCCTGTGAGTGAATCATAGTGGCCTGTGAAGCACATCCGGTGACTTTGCCAGGCTTGTGGTAGATAAGCCCTGCACGAACCCCCACCCACGGGGGGTACCATCATCATCTCCAGAGAAGAAACTGAGGTTTGGAGAGTTGGGGTTCTTTGTCCCGACTCACCCAGTCCGAACGGTGGTACTTGCACCCAGGCAACCAGAGCCAGCCCTGGCCTGAGGTCCCTGCCATCGCCAGTGGCCTGGATTCTCAGGTCAGGCAGGGCTCCCTCCCTCTGCCTTTTCTGCAGGTGGAGAAACTGAGGCCCAGGGAAGTAGTATGGCTCCCCCAAGGGCGCAGAGCCGAGGTGCTCTGCACAGCCAGGTGACCCAGACCTCATGCACCCCTGCAGAGGGGCAGCTGCCCCGGAAGTGCTGCGGGGCCCGGGGAGGGCTTGGCGAGGCCATGGGCCGGGAGGAAGCAGACGCTGTTACGGGGAAAGAAGAAGTGAGGGGAGCGCTGTGCGGTGTGGGGCSTGGAGAGGTGGGAGAAGGGAGAGGCGAGGTCGTTGGGTGCGCAGAGAGGCCGCAGCAGCCTCCCGACTTCCCCTTCTTCTGCAGAAGCAGCAGGACGGCAGCGAGGCAGGGCCAAGAGGCCAGGCAGCAGCTTCCAGGTTCGTGTGTTCTCGGGGACTCTCCTCCCTCACCAGCGGCGCCCTGTCTTTACCCGCTGCTGGATGTGCCCTTGCCTAGGGGACTTGGGGACCTCCTAGGAGCAGCTGGGACCCATCCTCTTTCCCTTTTTGGGAGACAAGTCTGGGGGAAAGTAGAGATCTGTTTTTAGAAGAGGCCATTTAAAATGAGAGATTAAACACTGGGTCCAGGTCCTCGTTGCCTCATGTGGCTTGGGGAAGTTACTGGACCTCGGTTTCCCCATCTGTGAAACGGGTTAGCCTGGTTACCTGAAATGATGGGGATGAGGGACTGTCTGTCTGGTCCCCAGCATGGGACTGGCACACTCCAGGATTGAAAAGATTCCTCTCCAGCCACCCTGGATTGGAGTCTGGGGACATTGTGTCTCAGGGACATGGCCCTGGGGGTGGCTGGGTCACAGACTCCCTGCTGAGTTCTGCTGTGGCCTTCCTTTGCCCATCTGTGAAAGGGGCTGATAAGAGCATCTCACAGGGCAGTTTTACAGAGACCACAGTTTTGCTTCTCTTCTGGTTGGGGAAACCTAAATGGGGGCTCCAGGGGGTGTTTTGCAGAGGTGGCTGCTTGGTGGAGGCAGGTGGGGCCCTGGGCAGGAGCTTGACTGGGTCTGCAGGCCCTGGTCCTGTGGGGAGAGGCTGGGCTTGGGGACCAGGACCAGGTCTGGGGAGGAAGGCAGGGCTTCCCAAGCCTGGACCTGGGTTAGGGCCTGGTTCCCAGGAGTGTGGATCATAGAAATGGTTGGTTGAGTCTCTCTCTCTCTCTCTCTCTCTCTCTCTCTCTCTCTCTCTGAAATAAGTCTCCTTGATGGTATCTTTTTACAGATGAAAAAACCTGAGGCCTAGGGAGCCAAGATTCCTGTGCCCAGCTTCCCTCCGCTGGGCACTGAGTACAGGAGCTGGTTCTCAAGTTCACGTCTTGGGAAGGCTCTGTCCTGTGTCACCTGCGTCTCATTTTTCTGTTGGCCTGAACAGCTTTGTACTTGTCCAGACAGCAACTCAGGTACCCAGCCATCTTGGGGAGGCTGCAGCGTGCAGCGGGCAGAGCGGGGACTTGGAATTGGGAGCCCTGAGTGGAGTCCCAGCTTGGCCACCGGCCTGCAGCAGAACCCCAGGCCAACGCCTCTCTCCTGGGGTTCAGCTTCCTCGAAGCCTGTTGGAACCGTCTTGGAAGTCAGGGAGAGGGATTTCTACTTCTCCAAGGGCTCCAGGCAGTAAATCTCAGGGGAGGAACCTGGATGGCCCAGGGTGTGGGTGATGTGTGTGGGCGCCTCTGAAGGGATAGGAAGGGCGCCTGGAGGCCACATGCAGAAGTGAAGATGGTGGTTTGCCCCTAGGAAAGGGGGCAGAAGCCACGGCTTCTATTTGGGGTGCTTGGGGAAGGGGTCACTTCTGCTTTGGCCTTGATTTCTCCAGGTGTGCTGTGGGGTCAGGCTCCTCCTCCGTGCCTGCCTAGGAGCAGCGTGGAAGGGCCTTGGTACCTGGCCTTAGAGGATCCAGACTCTGGCAGTCAGATCCACTTGCCTGCTGGTCCTCAGTTTTCCAGGGGTTGGCCAGGGGTTGGCCAGGGGTCTTCTATACTATTAGGTCCTCTTCTACTGAGGCCTCTGTTTTCATACCTGAAATATTTCCCATTTGTTCATTCAGTTGTTTCCCCAACCCATGTCTTTTCTCTGAGGTTCTGAGTGGGCAAGTGAGTCACACAAGGTAACACAGCCAAACAAAGCCAAAGAGCCAAATAAGTGAGAACCCAGCACTCGGACTCCAAAGTCTCCATTTCTCTTTTAAAATGAGTACATATTAATAAATAGTATTAAGAAAAATGGGTGACCATTTGGGGAAAAAGTAAGATCAAATCTATTTCTCGAATTATCTCCTAAGACCAAGGAGACAGGCTGAAGATTCCAATGTGAAAATGAAACAATAAAATTACCAGAAGAAATGCAGGAGAATTCCTTTATAACATTGGAATAGGGAGGGGGTTTCTAGCTAGGACTCAGAATCCAGAAGCCCAAAGAGAAAGTACGGAGCTTGTAATAGACAAGGAGCTGATTTTCCTATTACAAAAAGAGTTTCTAGAAATTAAAAGGAAACATATAACCCAATAATCAAATGAACAAATGGGGAACTTGCTCCTGGGAACCCRCTTCAACCCAGCTGGGTTGTTTATAAGAGTAAAGGCTAGAACTGGCACAGATGGCTACAAATAGGGACTATTAAATCAATTCTAGCTTATTTCTACAATGTTACAGTATGCGGTTGAAAAAGTGGAGTCTCTCTAGACCCTGTTGTGCAAAGCTCTCCCAGATGTATTTTCAAGCTTAGAAAGCAAAGAGTGGGGCTGGGGATGTGGCTCAGGGGTGCAGCGCCCCTGGGTTCAATCCCCAGTAACAAAATAGAAAAGAAAGAAAGAAAGAAAGAAAGAAAGAAAAGTGAAAGTGGCTGGCTACAGTAGAGTCTGTAATCCCCGAGGCAGGAGGATCGCAAGTTCAAAGGCAGCCTCAGCAACAGAGAGGTGCTAAGCAACTCAGTGAGACCCTGTCTCTAAATAAAATACAAAACAGGGCAGGGATGTGGCTCAGGGGTTGAGTGCCCCTGAGTTCAATCCCTGGTACCTGCCCTCCCCCCGTCACACAAAAARGCAAATGCAGGACAATACATAGGGTGGGCTACTTTTTGTATAAAGTGGGGGGAATTCTGTTCGCCTTTATCTGTATGGAGAAACTCTGGAAGAGACATGGAATTCTAGGAGTGGTGGTATCTGTGGGTCGCTGGGAATTGAGAGGGGGCATCTGCAGGGTGGAGGACTGCTTTGCATTTCAGACTTCTGTATTTGTTTATCAAATATAAAATATTCGAAAGATGTAAATTTCTAAACTATCCAGAGTAAATGCAATTTGAGAAATGTATAACTACAACTTTTGGGGAGAACATGAGGAACTGTAGACAAGGAAAACAAAGGGGAGATTATGATCTCCCCCCTCAGAAGCGACTCCTGCCTGTTCTTGGATGTTTATCGTGCTTTTGCACATGTAAGAAATAGGATTTTGGGGGGCTGGGGTTGTGGCTCAGTGATAGAGCACTTGCCTGGCACATGTGAGGCACTGGGTTCGAATCTCAGCATCACATATAAGCAAATAAATAAGTAAAGATCCCTCAATAACTAATAAAAATATTTTTAAAAAAGAAATAGGATTTTGGGGCCAGGATGAGATTTCATTGTTTTGCAACATGGTTTTTGATTTTTAGAAGCAATATGTTACTATTATTTTTTCTATGTTAACATATAGTCATTTGGAGGATTGAAAAGAATCCTAAGTATCAAACTGTTTTTTTTTTTCCTGTTGTGAAGGTTATAAGCAAACACTCATAGCAAATTTATTTGTAATAGCCCCAAATTGGGAACAATCCCAGCGTCCCTTGAATGGATGCATGGTTAAAACAAACTATGGTACATCCACACGAGATACAGCTCAGCAATATATTTTTAAAAAATACACTTGAAAAAAGCTATTGATATGCACAACTTGGATAGATCTCCAGGGGAATTATCCTGAGCAACAGAAAAAAAGCCAATACAACATCAAAACCAGGAAAGTAACTTTGGTACAATCTGCAGACCTTATTCAGAGTCTGCCAGTTTTATAGGCTCTCATTTACGCATGTGTGTGATGTGGGTGCCTATTTAATTCCATGCAATTTTATCACATGTGTAAATTCCCATAGCAGCCACCACAACGAAGACACAAAACTGTTCTGTCACCACAAGGATCCTTGTGCTACCCCTTCATAGACATACCCAACCTCACCCGGGCAACCACTAATCCTTTCTCCATCTCTATAATTTTCATTTCAAGCATGCTATGCAAGTCAAATCATATAGTTCGCTCCATCTTGAGATTTTTTTTCCTTCCTTTTTTTTGCTCTGGAGAATTCCCTTGAGATCCATCCAAGTTGTGTGTACCAATAATTGTTTGTTTGTTTTTTTCAAATTTATTATTATGAGTATTTTGGTACAGAGATTGAACTCAGGGGCACTCAACCACTGAGCCATATCCCCAGTCCTATTTTGTATTTTATTTAGAGACAGGGTCTCCCAGAGTTGCTTAGGGCCTTTGCTTTTGCTGAGACTGGCTTTGAATTCATGATCCTCTAGTCTCAGCCTTCTGTGCCACTGTGCCTGGCAAATTAATTATTTTTTATATTGCTGAGTTGTATTTCATGACGTGGGTGTATCACTTTCCATCCATTGAAGGGCATTGGGGGTCGTTTTGGGGCTGTTATGAATTAAGCTGCTATGAATGTTCATATACTGGTTTTCTTGTGAGCATGGGTTTTTAGATTTCCAGGATAAAAGCCCAAGAATACCATTGCCAGGTCACGTGGTAGATGCACATTAGGTTTTACAGGAAACTGACAAACTGTTCCAGAGGGGAGAAGCTCTGATTTACTGAACTGTTCCTCCCTTGATTGACAGATACATTGTTTTCAAGTCTTTCTTGTTGTAAACAGTAGTATTCTAGGCATACTTTTTTTTTTTAACTTACAAAATGTGTTATATTTTCCACTTCTACTTTTAACATATCCCAGGCACTTTAGAACATCTATAATGTCTAGCTATTTTTTAAAAAATATTTATTTATTTATGTATCTTTAGTTTTAGGTGGATACATTAGTTTGTTTTTATGTGGTGCTGAGGATTAAACCCAGTGCCTCATGCACGCTAGGCAAGTGCTCAACCATTGAACTACAGCTATTTTCAGGAAAGTACTTAGCATTTTCAACTACATATATACTAATGAGGAATACAATGTACTCACAAAACAATGGTGATCGTTGTAGGAGAATGTCTTTTACATAAAACCTATCTGGCCCAAGAGCTCCTTCTTCTCACCATCAAAGTCTTCTCCACGTTCTCTAACCCACTGGACAGGATTCCTAGAGGTGGTCTAACAAATCCATTTCAAAGTCTCTTCCCAAAGACACTTCTGATTTTTTAAAACAAATGGGCATTTACAAGATGTTATTTTCTAACTCAACCATCCGAGGGCAACCTCTTTGCATTTAGAATTTCCAGATGTAGTAAAACTTTTGAAAGGTTGTGGAGCAAGTTGAGAGCAGCTTTTTCATATTCTATGCGAAGGCCTTCGACAAACACCAGTAGATCTTCCCAACGAGTGGTGGACGTGGTGGGCATTTCCAATGGGTCGAACACGGCATGTTCCCCTACCTTTTCTCCTTTGTTAGAAGGAACACCAACTGCCCAAGAGCCGCCAACCTTTCCAGAGTCTCAGGAGTGGAAGTGCCAGATTCACAGGTCAAGGTCAAGGTCAAGGTCAAGGAGGGTCTTTGAGGGTCAAGGTGCAGTCTCCCTGGAACAGGTGCTGTTGCTGGCGTGCAGGTTGATGGTCAGGCTCCTGTAGTCCCTGTGCGTCGAAAAGTGGTCGAGGAGGGCCCTGCGCCGCTGGCTAACGTGGCTGGGCTTGCCGCCATCCACAGGCCTTCTCAAATTCTAGCCTTTATACTCCAAGATACCACTTTTTTGGAAGGTCACACCTACTCTTTGGAGCAAAGTTCAAGTACAAAGCCTTTCTTTCCTCCAGTCCTTACCCATCACGTCCCTGTGGAAGCACCTGACATTTAAATMTGAATAATTCTAAAAATTTTTCTCTTAAACCTATTTGATTCTTCCATCCACAGCTGTATTTCCTGAAAAAAAAAAATGATGCAGTATTTGTCACCACTTCCTCACAAACCAATCACCGGTTTATCCAATCTGCCATCTAGCATTTAGCCCGTGAGTTTAGCCGTTTGCATTTATTGTAATGGTTGATGTATGTGGACTCGGTTTTCCCCCATCTTCCCTTGTCCTTTCAAATACTTACGCAAACTGCTTTTTGTTTGATTTGGTTTGGTTTTTGCTTTCTCCTACTTCTCTACTACATTGTCAGCACCAGGGGCAGAMGGTGTTTTTATTATTAGAAAAGAGGGAAAAATAAAGGG